GCCCGACGCCTCGCGTTCGCACGGCGCGCCCCGGCGCCCACCCGGCGGCGCCGCCGCGCGTCTGGGTGCCCGGCGCGTCTCCTCCCCGTCCCCCGGGCCAGTCCCCCGTGGGTCCGCGATGCGAGGCCGAAGGCCGCGGGCGAGATGGAAGGGGTGGGGGGGGGGGGGGGCGCGCCGGGGGGGGGGCAGCGGCCACCCGCTCGGCCGCCCCTCGTCGCCCCTTCCCGGGGTCAGGGCCCCACGGACCCGGCCGGCACCTGGCTCTCGGCCCTGCCCCTGGGCTCTGCGCGCCTTCGCCGCGGGGGCCGAAAAAGGACGGCGGCGAGAGGGCTTCGGCGCCGCCGGCGCCGCTCGAGGACGGCGTTTTGCTCTCACGCCCTGTCGCCGTGCCTCCGCCCGACTCCCTCCACCGCGCGCGGACCCCTCGAGGCCGCCGCCGAGCCCCGCCCTGGCAGCTGGCGACTCCTCGGTCGTAACCCAGTTCCCGCTTGGCTCCGCCTGGGGTTTGCACCGGCGAAGCAGGAAATGCGCTGTTCCCGGTGCACTTCCCTGCTCAGAAACTCGTCCGCGGGGGTGTTTCTTAGAGCCGCACCCCCTCCCGCCCCCAGCCTCCTCCGGAGTCCTGGGTGAAGTGTGGACTCCTTCCCTTTATTCTCTGGCATGGAGAACCTCAGACCCCCGGGATTGGAGGGGGGGCGGCGGTTGGGGTGAAGGCAGAGCTGCCCCCCCCCCCCCCGTTTTCCAGGCGCACACCGTCCTGCCGGCCCCTCCGTATCTGCCTTGCGACGTTAACGGGAATTTCAGTAGTGGCGTGGCTTCTGTGCATCCGCTTCTGCTGGCCCACCCCCACCCTCCTCACACCTTAGAACAAGCCAGAGCTTCAAGCCACCAGTCTTCCCGGCACCATGCCCACTGTGAGAGGGGCACTCACCCTCCCACCCGAGGGAGGGCGGTCATGGCTCCTGGCTCCGAGGAACGCACAATGCAGGACATTCGTCTTCCTCTCTGATTTATTCACCTCCAGCTGGATGTTCTGGGCCTGTTCTACTGTAATCATTTGTGCCCGGCATGTGAAGGTGATGCCGACATCAGTAGGCCAAGTCTAGGAGAGGTAAGAGTTGCCTTTGCATCCAGAAAACGCTGCCAAGTTTCCCTAGTCAGCAGGGCTGGATTTGGGCAGGTGGTTGGTTAGGGCGAGGGGTGCGTTCTGTGATCATGAAAGTGATCAAAGTTAATAGGTCATAGGACAGGCCACTCCTGACGGCACTCATTACCACCAGCTCTTCTGAGCAGCTTGAGTCTTAAGCGTATCAGATTTTGAAAGGCGCCTGAGTTGACTTCCAAAGTTTCTTTTTTTTTCATTAAAAGATTTTTTTTTAACATTTATTAACTTTTAGAGAGAGAGAGAGAGAGAGAGAGAGACAGAGCATGAGCGAGGGAGGGGCAGAGAGAGAGGGAGACACAGAATCTGAAGCAGGCTCCAGGCTCTGAGCTGTCAGCACAGAGCCTGACGCAGGGCTCGAACCCACCAACCATGAGATCATGACCTGAGCCAAAGTTGGATGCTTAAGCAGCTGAGCCACCCAGGCTCCGGTTTCTAGGCAGAAGGGAAAGTATTGGGAATCTTTGCTGGCTTCCTTTGCAGTCAGCCTCCCATTGACCTCTGTGGTCTGAATTTTTTTTTCTTCCACTTCTTTGACCTTGCCAAAAACTCCGTCAGTACTTTTTAAAGTCTGCACTGTTCTCTCTCAACCCCTCCTTCATCATCTGGGCCTCCAGTCATGGAGCACCTGAAATCTCACCACTTCTGAGGATTCACGCCAGTCCTATTGCTTTTCTGAACCAGAAGCGGGGCCGGGGTGGGGCGGGGGGGCGGGTGTCCAGCCCAGGGTGAGGAACCGGAAGGTTGGGGGTGGGGGGTGTCCAGCCCAGGAATGTACATGTCCGCACATGGATATGATGCATAACCAAATTTCTACCTTGATGCCTTTTTTCACAATCAAAACCTTTAGTATTAAAATTTCTTCATAATCGTAGAGGACAGGTTGCAAAGCCGTTTCACACACATGAACTCATCTGATTCTCACCGCAGCCCTGGAGGGAGGCAGCCTTCATTATTATCCCCATTTTTCAGACAAGGAGAAAGAGAGTGAAGAAACATAGGAAACTTGCTCCAGGTCACATGACAGGATGTTTGGACCCCCCTTGTTATCAGCGGTGGGTCTTGTTTTGAGTTTCTTTCCGGGTCATCTCTCCAGCCGGTGAAGGGCCTGATGGTGTTTGTAGGGACGAAATAATGATAGCAGACAGGTAGAGATGGACGAGGATTCTTGCACACAAGCTTCCGGTAGGGCCCCTAACCAAGTCGTGATCATTTTTTAAATATCAGAGATGCAGGGCTGTAACAAGAAGGCATTTGCATTCGGAAGAAATACAACTAGGAGTTTTTATTCTATCACGTAATCTGAGCCCTAGATGACATCTCATTTATTTTGAGTGTCATTGAACAAATAGTATTCGGGTATTATATTTGTGTGTCGTGAACAAATTCTACTTTGGCTGGAAAAATGAAGACAATTCAGAGTTATGTGGGGATCAAGTTCAAATATAAGGTAGTTGAGGTCTTCAAAGCTCTACCTGTCTACTTCCATTCGTTCAGACTGAACGAGACTTAGTTAATTATATGAAATTCTTGGGGGGGTCTTGTCACATATTAAGGTTTATACTATTAGTCTCTAGACCTACTGCTGACCATGCCTTTAAGGCATAACAGTGTATTCTGGAACAGCTAGGTAAAATAAACTCTCTCCATTCTTACTGCTGTGTGGGAGAGTGATGAATGGCAAATATTAATCCTAATGACAAAGTGGAAAATTAAGGCACAGAGCAATTGGGTAATTTGCTTCCTGCTTCCAAACCAGTCTAAAAGACAAGCGAATAATTTATTCTTTTCATCAACAAATAATTGTCAATGTATACTGGTACATTGACTGGTTATGGGCACAGATTTGGGAGTTGAACTGTTTGGGATTGAATTCACATTCTACACTTTATCACCAGTTTATCTGGACATAGTACTTATCCTATAAGCCTCCTCTGTCAAATGGAATATAGTTATGGTAATAACATCAGAGAGTCTTATGAAGATGAAATGAGTTAATTGTCCATAAACTGCTTAGCATAGGGCCTGGGACATGATAAGCATTAACACAGGTATTTAATAATAAAATTTAAATTAATGCATGCTAGCATATGAAGGCATGGTGGGAGAATACATTTTATTTTAAATATTTACCTATTTATTTTAAGAGAGAGAGAAAGAGAGTGCGCACGTGCAGGGGAGTGGCAGAGAGAGAGAGGGAGGGAGGGAGTGAATCCACACAGGTTCCAAGCTGTCAGCACACAGCTGGACGGGGAGGTCAGTCCCACAAACCATGAGATCATAACCTGAGCCAAAATCAAGAGTCAGATGCTTTACTGACTGAGCCACCCAGGTGCCCTAGGAGAATAAATTGTATTTTATTATTTTTTTAAATCCCCAAATAGATACTCATTATATTTATTTATTTTTTATTTATTTTTTTAATATGTGAAATTTATTGTCAGATTGGTTTCCATACAACACCCAGTGCTCATCCCAAAAGATGCCCTCTTCAATACCCATCACCCACCCTCTCCTCCCTCCCACCCCCCATCAACCCTCAGTTTGTTGAGAATAAATTTTAAAAAGCTACCATAGTACTGAAGGTAAATGCATTATTAACAACTAAAGAAATGTTTTCAAGAAAAACATAAATGGAATTTCATACTATTGTAGCATCTCTTACAACTAGTAATAAACAACATTGTCATGCTTTCATCAAAATTGTCTATTGGCAAATGTTTTGAGAGTTCTATAACCTATTGTGCATTTTACAATTACATGTGAATATGACATTTTAACTTTGGTGGTAAAAAAAATATGTTTGTTTTATGCATGTCAACCTTCTGGAACTGTGTGAAGACTGGCAAGAAAAAAATACATAGATTCATAAGACATTCAATATTCTATTAGAAGATCTTTGAAATGCAGGGGCACGTGGGTAGCTCAGTGGGTTAAGCGTCCAACTTGCTCTTGGTTTCAGCCTAGGTCACGATCTCACGGTTTGTAAGATCGAGCCCCACGTCGGGCTCTGTGCTGACAGCCTGGAGCCTGTTTGGGTTTCTCTGTCTCCCTCTCTCTCTGTCCACCCCTGCCTTCCGACTTGTGCACTCTCTCTCTTTCTCTCTTTCTCAATACATAAATAAACTTTGGGGGAAAAAAAAGGAAATCTTTGAAATGCAAAGAGACACCTTGCAACCAGTACTTATCTGGGTAGGACTAGATTGTTCTAAAGTCATAGAGACAGAGTTCAGTTTTGGTAACTATGCCTGTACACATATATTTAAAGGAAGAATGACCCCAAACGTACAAACCTTGCCTGGATCTTTCAGTGTAGCATAATGAAAAGATTCTCCAGTCTAGTTGTGGTTGTTCAGTAACTCGCCACTAGGTAAACAGTGAGTCAGTGACACTGCCTCCTCAATTGACTGCACTACTTTGGGCAATAATGGAATGTTGCTGTTTTTAGAGCAAAAGCTTTTTATTTTTTTAACTCATTACTATGCAGAAGGTCTCAGCTTTGATCCAGGGCAAAGCAGATGCTATTTTTATGAATTAAGACCATGGCTTTACTGGATAACCATTATTTTAGTAAAGCTAATAGGTTATTTCAGTGGCTAATTTAAAACTGGAATTTGGAGTCAAATAGGCAACTCTTTCTTTCTTACACTTTCTTTTTATGTAACATTTCCCTGCAACTCACCTGACATTGACAGAATCTTAGGGCAGAAAGGGACTGCATAACCCACACCCTGCTTTTTTCCGAGTTCTTTATAATTACCCTAGAGAGAATTTGGGAACATGGAAATGTCTTGCCCAGGTAATTTCACATACTACGCTAATATAGGAAAGCACTTGTTACTTATGCACGTATGTAAACACGCAGGTGCTCTTTTAAAATCATTTATTTTGAAATAACTACAAACTTAGAAGTTGCAAGAATAGTATAAAAAACTGCATCACCGTCACTAAGACAATTTGGCAGCATTTTATCACTTTTGCTCCATTTCTGTCTAAATAAACAAGGACTTTTCCCCGCATTTACTTTAGCTCACTCTCCCTTTCTAAAAATGTGTAATGTATAGAACAATATAAATATACGACACATATATTCGTTATCACTAACATATACCAATACATTCTGGATACTACATAACTATGTGATACATCAGTGTATTATGTTATATCTTATATAATAAAACATAGCCACGTATGTCATTAGCCTTTTTCTGAACCGGTTAAGAGCAAAGCTGTGATGCAATGTCTCCCTCATTCTATGGAACACACTCCCATATGACCACCAAACAACCAAACAAATCAGGAAATAAACATCACTACCATCCATCTAAGCCCCATGCCCAACTCAAATTTTGCAAACTGCTCTAACAAACTCTCTCTTTTTTTTTTTTTTTCTGGTCCAATGTTCAGTCCAGGATCACACATTGTATTTAGTTATTGTGTCTCTTCAGACTTCCATTGGAAACAGTTCCTCGGTTCATGGTCTTTCTTGTCTCTTATAACCTTTATAGTTTTGAAGAATGCGGGGTTTTCATTCCCAAAAGATGTTCCGCGATGAAGTCTGTCTGCTATGGGCTCACATAGCCTTGGTAGGAAATCTGCCCAAATGGGAATGTGCTCTTCTCAGGGAGGCTAGATGTCAGCCCATATCGTCACTGGCGAAGTAGCCTTGGTCACCTGATGACATTGATATCTGCCCAGTTTCTCCGCCGTCCCATCATCCTTTTCCCCTGTGCAACTGAGAAGTGTTTTTTTGTAGGGGGAGTTCTGCCATTATACTCCTATCATACTCCTCCTCAAACCTCCACCCACCTGCCTTAGCATCCACTTAGATGGGTGACAAATGGTGGTTTTCTATTCCTATCATTTCTTCTATATTTATTTATTCCTTCTAGTATACAGAAGTTTATCCACTTATTTATTTGTTTGTTTATTTATTTATATCAGGATGGATTCATGGATTCCTTCTTTATTCATTGGATAGTCATCCTGAACTGGTGTTATTTGTTTGGCTGTTCAAGGTGTCGACATTTTGGTCAACGCAGATTTGGGCACCTTTCGAGCTGGCTCCTGTGTCCTTTGGCTATGTCCTTATCAGTCTTTGGCCATTTCCTTACTTTTGAGCATAACAAGATAGCCCAGGCTCATCTTGAACATCCCCTGCCTTAGCCCTGATTCAGTCATTTCTCCAAGGAATCAAGGGCATCTTTCGGTGGAGGATGGCATTTGGAAACCAGGATCTTGGTTGTCATAGATACCGGGGCACCACCGCTCCTGCATACACTGAGCAGACAGAGCTGGGAAACATGCATCCACGTGTGCAAGTACATATACACATGTATCTACCGTATGTCCTTATCTACCTCTAAAATCTATTAAATTTTTTTTAACGTTTATTTATTTTTGAGACAGAGAGAGACAGAGCATGAACAGGGGAGGGGCAGAGAGAGAGGGAGACACAGAACCCGAAGCAGGCTCCAGGCTCCGAGCCATCAGCCCAGAGCCTGACGTGGGGCTCGAACCCACGGACCGCGAGATCGTGACCTGAGCCGAAGTCGGACGCTTAACCGACTGAGCCACCCAGGTGCCCCAACCTCTAAAATCTATTAAAACCATGAGTTAATTGAGGCTATCTCCAATGCCAATCCAATGTCTCAGAGTTCTTGCTAGCCCACTGCCTTTCCATATTTGTAAATCCCTTTCCAAGAGTAAGACACCTGGTTCCCATTACCCTCGAGATATCTGCGTATTTGCTTGATGCAATCAGTCTTCTTACCGCTCCACCTGCCTGCTCTTGGCTCCCAGGCCCATAAATACCTCTGTATGAACTCCACTTGCCATGTTTAGAAGCAAGGGAAAGAAAGCATTACGTGTTTCAATTTATGTGAAAATTATTGTAAGTATAAAAGGTGACCATAAAGCATAATGTCAAAGTCTTCTTCTTCACTATCTTTACTCCCCAGCATATTCCTCAGGAATAACTTAAGAACAAAATTACAGGGGAGCCTGGGTGGCTCAGTCGGTTAAGCCTCTGACTTCAGCTCAGGTCACGATCTCCTGGTTCGTGAGTTCGAGCCCTGCATCAGGCTCTGTGCTAACAGCTCAGAGCCTGGAACCTGCTGCGGATTCTGTGTCTCCCTCTCTGTCTGCCCCTCCCCTGCTTGTGCTCTCTCTCTCTCTCTCTCTCTCTCTCTCAAAAATAAATAAATATTTTAAAAAATTACAAGACATTACTTTTGTTTGTTTCGAATGAGGTCACCCATACTTTTGGAACTACAAGATTGTACCTTTAAAACCAAAAAAACTAGGGGCACCTGGCTGGCTCACTCCATACAGCACATGACTCTAGACCTTGGGGTTGTAAGGTCGAGCTCCATGTTGAGCTCAGAGATTACTTAAAAATAAAATATGAAAAAAATATATCCCTTGGGCTTTCCGTCAGAGCTAAAGGAAAACTAGAGACGGGCTCGACCTAGGAGGATTTCTTTTACGAAAAACTCTAAGGAAGCAAGAGGGATAAGTGTTAAATAACATTTTCCAGAAGCGTTCATGGGAATGTGTGGCCACTTTGAGGAAATACTACATAAATATATTGCCTCTCCCTTCTGTCAGCCACACCCACACAGACATTACTCTTCATGATCTTACATGAAGAAAATAATGCATAACAAGGCAGATTTCACGACTTGCCCAAAGTGCAGAGGTTCACCAATCTCATTTACCCTGCTTCTATGCATGAGTGAATTCCCATGAATCATTTCCATCTTCAGCATGAGAGAGAAAGTTTGGTGGAACAGTATTAAAACGAAGACCAGCCTCTGAGCCTCCAAACTGGGCTCAGCACCCCCCCCCCCAAACTGCATCTTCCATGGCTGCTTTCTCTCGGCATAGCTTGGAGCTGCCCTGCTAATCTCCTCTACCCCCCTCAACCGCCCCCCCACCCCCACAACCCGCACAGTGAGCTGGTACAAGTTCAGTTGCAGTGGACAGCCCAGGGCTCACCCCAGGCTCGTCTCTGCTGGGCAAATCTTTTCTTCCTTTTCAGATCCGAAGGAGGAAAGTCTTACTGGGTTGTTTCTTCAGAAAACATGGTGATCAAACATCCCAGAGCCAGAAGGGGCAGCCTCTAGTCAAGTGAAGACCGTAGGCATGAATGATTTAATGACGATGAATCAACTGGTTTGATCACTGTACAGAGTGAGACTTACAAAACATATGTAATAGACCAACTGAGTCGTGGAAGAGTTGTTCACACTGAACCTTTAATTCTTGCACGGTTTAAGTAGTTGAAGGGCTTATACTAGTCTGATTTTGCCATTACTTAGTTTATTCTATTTAACAGATGAATTAGAGTAGCATATTTCTAAAGATGAGTAATGTTGGGGCGCCTGGGCGGCTCAGTCCGTTGAGCACCCGACTTCGGCTCAGGTCATGACCTCACGGTTTGTGAGTTCGGGCCCCGCGTGGGGCTCTGTGCTGACAGCTCAGAGCCTGGAGCCTGCTTTGGATTCTGTCTCTCTCTCTCTGTCTCTCTCTGTCCCTCCCTTGCTCACACTCTGTCTCTCAAAAATAAATAAAAACATTATAAATTAAAAAAAAAAATAAAGGTAAGTAATGTAAATGCTTTTCAACGCTTTTGACTAGCAATTGATTTGGGTACCTTTTAATAGTGAACATTTCTGATGCTTGAGCCTCACGTATAATCACCAATCCCAGTTCAACCCTCTGGAGGCATCCTATCCATTGCGGTAGCCTATGCGGTCCCGCATAAACTAGCTCTTACCTCTCTCTCTCTAGTCCCACCTCTCTGCTCTGTGCCCGCATCACGATATTCTAGCCAACCGGCCTCTCCCTGTTCTTAAAATAGCCCAAGCTGCTTCCTCCTCGAAGCCTACATTCTCCTCCCTCTGCAATGGAACCAAAGCCCCCGATATTTTTTTATGGCTCCCTCATTGAATGATGACACCTAGTCTGAGACCATCCTACCTAAAGTAGCCAATGTCCGCCACCTCCCCGACAAACCTATCACACTCTGTTCTCTCACCTGCTTTATAATTTTATTATCGGCAGTCATCATATTTCATATTTCTCTGTTTGCCATCCATTCCTCTCCCCATTAAAATGCCAGCTCCCTGAGACGTTATCTGTGTTGTGCATTTTCCTGGATCCACTGTGCCCAGGACAGATGGTGACTGGCACATCAGGGGGACTCAGCAAGATTTGTTGAGCGAATGAATGATTGCCGGAGACTGAGCTCAGTCAGTAGATGATTTCCCCGTGCCCTCAGTCGGAGCAAAACTGGGGACACTTTTGACTGCTGGTTAGTGGCTCACTAGTCATTTCCATGTCTTGTCATTTCTTTGACACACTCTTCCCCCTGAGAGCTTGCATTGCTTTCATTGAAGCCTCATATTGGTCGCTTTAAGAGGGAGGAATGCTCCCTATGGACATGTAGTTCATTAACAGAGTATTATCTCACAGAGTAACTAAGAACTTTCAAAAGAAGGGTGATGGTTATAAGAGCCTCTAAATAATTTTGACTGATTAGGTATCTTAATCCAGTTGCCGGTTAATTGTGTTTGTTTGTGATTAAGAATATGATTTTCACCTCCCCCCTCCCCCTCCAGTCTCTCTGTCTTTGGAGAAAGCCAATCTTCCTGCCCTCTTCATATCTACAGCTAGCTCTTTGAAGGTGTTTGTTGAGGGGATGAGACCACAGCTATCACCTGGAGCCAGGAGCTGGGAAGAAGGAATCTCTACCAAGCCACCTGCAGGTTGACTAAGAAAGACCCCCACGCCCACAGCAAACAACAGCGAGATCTGAGGCCAGGAACCCCTCCCCACCCCCTCTCTCTACGCCCACGGCACTATTTCTGCGGAGAAAATGACCCCGTAGTCGAAAGGCTGATCGCGATGACGCGTTCTTGAAAGCACAGCTTCTCCAACCGTCTGTGGAGAAGGATCGGGTTTTTTCTTTTTTGCCAACCTGTCGCACGTGGACACTTTCAGAAGACGGTAAAAATGAATCGCTAGAAACGTGAAATGGCAAAGTCGTGCAAAATACAAGCCCCCGTTTTTGGTTAAAAGGTTCATCTGATGTGCACCGAACTCTTGCATCGCTACCCCGACCTGCTCCCTTGCGAGATCTCTGCCTCTGCCCCGCAGGCTGGGCGGGACGGCGCCCTGTCCCACCCCACGGCACAGAGACCTCTGAGAGCCTCTCTCAGAAAACCCGGAACCTTAAAACAGCAGCCTTTTTCTCATCTTGCACTTTCAGGTTCCTAGTCCTTCTTTATTGTTTTCGTTAATTAATTAATTTGAGAAAGAGAGAGAGAGCGAGAGAGGGAGAGAGGGAGAGAGAGAATCCCAAGCAGGCTCCACACTCAGCACAGAGCCCGAAGCGGAGCTCGATCCCACGACCCTGGGATAGCGACCTGAGCCCAAATCAGGAGCCACACTCAAGCGACGGAGCCACCCAGGCTCCCCTTTCTTTATTCTTTTCAAAGGAGGTAACAAATTGACTATAAACGTGATACTAGATGAAAACCTCTATTGCTACTAAGTGCCAAATCAACCACCCCCCTTGTTGACATTATTTACTGTGGCACCAGGAGGCTGCGTGTTGTGGTGGGTAGAGACAGGAAAGCATTCCGCCTCCCTGCCCAGATTTAGTGTGGACGTAGAAGGACTAAAAGGCCTGGACGGCAAACTCTAGCAAGGACGAAAGGGAGAATTAGGTTAACCTCACCTTCTGATGGCCTGCTTCTAAGTCACAGATGTGAATTCTTTCTCCTGCTGCCAAATTGAAGCCTATATGATTATCCGATAGATACTCCTACATATCATCTATATAAATTACATATACGTATTTAATTTCTTCTGTTTTACCAATGAAAAAACTGACGCGACGTTTCTAATAGCCAATCTGGGAAATCAAAGGATGTAGTCCTTTCCCTAAGGCATTTGGAGCTGTGACAACACACATGCCATCCTGTAGATCGCATGTAACGAATGGCCTAGGCTCGTGAGGTGCCTTTGTCTTTCTAATGAGATCAGACTTGGGAGGCAAACTCTCCACACCATCCCCCGCTCATCTAACTTCTAACTACAACCCGGAGTCCTGGCTGTCCTGGCTGTCACAAGGCCCGTCGGGTCCCATCTTCCTTTTGTTCCCATCACCATCAACAAAGAGCTGTGGTCACAAGTTTCTGTGTATGGGAGATATTTACATATAATAACATTGATTCATTGTTTGTACCTCTTAACACATTGCTGCCATACTACGGCCTTCGTTCAGACGAGGGTTTGCAATTGTTCATTGGGGAGAAATTGCATTTTCCAGGCAGACACTGAACCGTTCATCCAAAATGCTTTCCATTCTAAGTTGCATTTAGCAGTAGGCTTAAAGCTGCTTAAATGGTGGAGTCACATTCCCTCAGTTTTACATTTCTTTTTTTTTTTTTTAACGTTTAGTTTTGAGAGACCGAGCGCAAGCAGAGGAGGGGCAGAGAGAGAGGGAGACAGAGAGAGAATCTGAAGCAGGCTCCGCGCTGTCAGCTCAAAGCCCTGCTTGGGGCTCAAACCCATAGACTGTGTGAGATCATGACCTGAGCCGAAGTTGGATGCTCAACCGACTGAGCCACCCAGGGGCCCCCATGTTTTAATTTCTTAAAAGTTTTTATTTAAGGGGCCCCCGGGTGGCTCACTCAGTTAAACATCTGACTCTTGATTTCAGTTCAGGTCATGATCTCAGTGCTCATGGTTCGAGCCCCACATGGGGCTCTGCACTGACCGCACAGGGACGGCTTGGCATTCCCTGTCTCGCTCACTTTCTGCCCTCCCTCTCTCTCTCTCCCTTTTTCTCAAAAATAAATAAACATTTAAAAATAAATAAAGTTTTTATTTAAATTCCAGTCAGTTAAGATACAGTGTCCTATTAGTTTCAGATGTACAATATGGTGAATCACCACTTCCATACATCACCCAGTGCTCATCATGGCAAGTGCCCTCCAATGGTCAAGTGCCATTGCCTATTTCAGCCAGCCCCCACCCACCTCCCTTCTGGTATGTAAGTTCATTTTTTTTTTAAAGGGGATACTGCATTTTTAAGCGCATCAATGAGGAAAAGCCCTTTGTTGTTTTGCAAAATATAAGAATATTTATACTTCGCACTCTGCAAAGTTTTTTTATGTACATACTTCAAATTCATCTTCAAAATAACCCTACTGCTTAGATATTCATACGGCTTCCTTCCCCTCCCCCCACCCCCACAAGAAGAAAATGAAGTTCAGAGAGATAAAACGATCCCCCAGAGTCACAAATCTGGGAAGTTTCACAGTTTATGCTTTTTCTACTGTTCCATGCTGTTAACACGGTTTCTCACGTGTAAAAAGGCCATTTCCACCATTTCCCTGCTGGCCTGTGTGTCATTCTCCCAGGGCTTGAAGGACTCCGGTTGCCTTCGATTACTGTGAGCACTCCAGCCTGGCTTGAACACTTAGGTCAACATGCTTTTCATTCAGTATTTTTGTAGTGATACTTTCTATCCATAGACTAATGTGGTAACGCAGTGTCCTGAACTTAGCTTCCCATTATGGACTCCAAGGGTAGCATGCTCCCAGCCGTGTCTCCCAGACTCCTCCCGAGGGCCTGGGGAATCTGTATTACAAGCCTTCCCGTGGTCCTCTTCCTGAGGAAGAACACTGCTAACATAGTAAAAGTAGTAAGGTGTTAATGATATGATAGAATTGTGCCAACATAGAGGAAAAACGTAATGTGTGCTAGTTTAAATGTATGGTAGGTACCCTGAATACTATTATTCCTAAAAAACCAACAAGCAAAACATGTACCTTAGGCTCTTAGGCCTAAGATAATAAAACTCCAGAACAAAGCATCTTCTTAACTTCATCTTACCACTTTTCCCATAAAACAGACGTTGCCTGGGCCACCTTTAATGTCTTTTTGCCAAAGGGGAAAAATTAGGACTCAAGTTTTTCTTCAGCTACATCCCTTTCTATGATTCCTGTAGTGGCTTCCTCCCAGAGAGAGTTGACTATTTATGTCTTCCGTGGCGATCTTTCGAAAACTTTTAAAAACTTTATTCATTTGTTTGAGTAATCTCTACACCCGACGTGGGGCTGGAACTCACGGCCCTGAGATCACCAGTCGCATGCCCTTCTAACGGAGCCAGCCAGGCGCCCTGCTACTTTTCAAAATTTTGCTAACAGAGTACAGACCCCAGTATATTGCAGTTGGTTATTTTTGTTAAAATTGACCACTGTTCAGATGCCTCTTTATACCACTTTATACCTCCTTATACCACTTTGGGACACAAAGTGCTTAATAAAGACTAGTTAATTATCATCGCAATTTGATAAGAATGGTGGAAAAGGGGTTGGCATCGTTTTGGCTTTCTCAAATCCTATTTCTTGTGTATTGTGTTCAGTTCATTTCACTTGCTAGAGTCTTACACTTTCGTGTATTTCTGGGCTCATGCAAAAAGAATCATTTGGCCTGTATCAAATACATATCTATCCCTGAAATTTCAAGACATTTTTTTAATGTTTATTTATTTTGGAGACAGAGAGACAGAGCATGAGCGGGGAAGGGGCAGAGAGAGAGGGAGACAGAGAATCTGAAACAGACTCCAGGCTCTGAGCTGTCAGCACAGAGCCCGATGTGGGGCTTGAACCCACGAACTGCAAAATCACTACCTGAGCCGAAGTCAGATGCTCAACCAACTGAGCCAGCCAGGCACCCCAAAATTTCAAGTAATTTTAAGAATGTTCAAAATGACAATCCAAATTATTTATAAGCAATCACAGACCATTCATACATAAATAGAATTTTTTTTACTGTTGTATTGCTGCAGGAACGAAGACATTGAAACCCACTAACATTTAGTTAAAATAGATGAATTTGGATAAAGGAAAAATGGATTTTTGTGTAAGTTTTTAGTAACCCTCTGTAAGTTTTCAAAATTAGTCACAGATGAAAAGGTTTTCCTCAAAGGACCACATACTGCATGATTCCATTTATATGAGGGGTACAGAGTGGGCAAATCCATAGACAGAAAATAGATGATCAGTTGCTTGGGCTGGGGGTACGGAGAAACCGGGGTGATGGCTAAAAGGGTTAGGGCTTCTTTGTAGGGTGATGGAGTGCTGTAAACTTGATTGAGGGGATGACCACACAGTTCTGAGTTTGCTAATAACCACTCAATGGTACATTTGAAATGGGTGAATCATATAGTATGTCAATCATAACAGTAAAACTGCTATTTTAAAAAATTAGAAATCAGGGGCGCCTGGGTGGCTCAGTCTGTTAAGCATCCAACTTCAGCTCCGGTCACGGTCTCGTGGTTCGTGGGTTCGAGCCCCATATCCCACTCTGTGCTGACAGCTCAGAGCCTGGAGCCCGCTTTGGATTCTGTGTCCTCCTCTCCCTCTGCCCCTTCCCCTGCTCATGCTCTGTCTGTCTCTCTGTCTCACTCTCTCAAAAATAAACATTAAAAAAATTTAGAAAATTAGAAATCAGAGACAATCTGGAAAAGACACAGATATGAAAAGTTTTGTTTGAAATTGAAACCTGGTCGGAGGGTAACAGACACTAGGGTTGCACCAATCAGGATATTATTCCTTCCCTATTCCCCTGCACTACCCCCCCACCCCCGTCCCCCCACAGGCTCATTTCCACATTAGCAGTAAATGAATTAGCTTCTCTTCCATAGTAGTTAATAGAAAAATGTTCTAGCACATAAACTAATGGATTTATGATTAGTCATAGGACAATTTTAACATCTGACAAGTTTGATTTTAAACCTGATTTATTATTTTACGTCTTATTTCCAACTTGACTTTATGGTTACTTTTGAAAGAATCTTGCTTAAAGCATTGTACAAATCTACCTCAGAATCCTAAATGAGGTGTTTCCTCTCTTTCCACCTTCCTGCCTGGAATGGGTAAAGTGAGTTTTCACCCTCTCTTTCTCACTCTCATTAAAATTAAATGGCAATTAAAGTTTATGGCTGGAATACTGATGAACTTTGAAAAAAGGAGAAAAAAAAAGATAAGTTTACCTTATGTTGATCAAGTTCAAAACGACACTAGAGTAACAGTAAGATGGGAAGAAAGTTTCAACACACAACCCTTTTCCGTTTTCCTAATACGTGTTGGTTGTATATGTTTACCGGGTATGCTCTTGCTTGTTCATTTGGGAACTTGATAACATATTCCAGAAAAATTCAGCATCACGCTCAGTGGTATTAAATAAGGTTGGGGATTGCATGAACTTGAAAAATGTTTGCGTAGGAGAAAATTCTCATCCGTAGTCAATACGTTATCCTCTTAAATAATTTTCACAAAGGGATTGAAAAGGCACATGACCATGTTCTGCGCAAAAATGCATTCTCTAGTTTTCCGAGGACTCAAAATGACAAAGAAAAGCCTTCTTTGTCTACACATTGAGCTGTACCCTAACCAGACGGCTTTCAGATTTAAGCATGAGTGGCAACATGTCTTGCTTGATGTGGCAATCGCTGGAGTTCTCGGTCAGTGCAAGACCCCACTGCCAGTTCTCTGCGAAGCAAGACATCACGGCTGTGGGTCAGGGCGGCCTCAGCTACCACACTGAGGGTTAGCAAATGATTTTTACCAGCTGCCGTTTAAACATCTTATTTGTCCTTCCTGCCTCAAAGAGGAATATTTTTCTAAAATTGATTATGGTAGGTTTTCTGTCTGGAAACATTTGCCTAGAGAAGACAGAGTTCTTCTAGTTGTAAGCAATAGACTGAGGGCTTACTATTCAGTTCTTAAATCTGCGGGTTTTTCTACCAAAACAAGGAGTCCGATTGCAGCCAGAATGCAGCACGGTTACTCGTTTTTGATTCTCTTATCACCCCACCCTTCGGGGAACTTAGTCATTTTTATTTGGGGCCAGGAAAAAAGGAGGTTGCAGCCTTGTAAAAGAATCAAACTTCCTGATAGCTGACTGGATGATTTACCTGTGCTCACTTTAACCTAGTTATGATCTTCCCACACAAAGGGAATTCTCTACTGCTAGAGAACCAGATAATCCCTAACCTAAACTGAAAAATGTTGCGAACAAAATTTAAGATCCAAGGGAAGATATATTTGATATATTCCTTTTATGGTTCCCAAACAGAACAAACAAACCGGCAGAAAACATCCACGATGAAAAATTTGAGGCTGAGATTGTGTCTGTACTATCCTGATCATTCATATGTGCTCAGATACACACATTCTCTCCATTTCTCATGTTACGTAGTCAATTGGTGCAAGCGAGTTAAATAATTGTTATTCTCTATGCTGCTCTGATTACTCCGATATTTTAACCTTCTAGTGAATTTCAGAAGACATGGCCTCTTCATGTTGTCAGTTAATATATTTAACTCGGATGAGGTAAATATCACTACAGCAAAATTCTGTTCTGTGATATCAACTACACTCAATAACTCTTTGTTCTAGTTTACAGTCCCAGTTTGAATTCTGACTCCCGAGAGGCAGAGAAATTTTCTAGAAAGTCCAAGTCATTGAATTTTACTTGCAATCGGCTTTACGTGGGGACACTTGTTCATTCCACAAATCAATCACAAAGTATTCATTAGTAGAAGGAATCCCCCAAATATCTAACAAAATGTCATCTGTTACCAAAATCATTAATTCTATTTGAAATAAATGCATTTCTCTTAGTAAACACACACACACACACACACACACACACACACACAAAACACCCCTTGGAATTTTAGAATCTCGTCATTTTGTTGACCTACGTTTTTACACTGGAATCACTTTTATTAAGTTAGATCAAACACAGGCTCTTTGCCTCAACTAAATGGACGTGCTAAACTGGCTCCAGAGTTGATTTGTGGAACTCATTATGGACTTCACAAAGTGTTCAAGGTTGCTTTTCAATTTGTTTCAGCCAGAATCAATAAATCTCTCACCTGGTTTCTTTGCTGCACGTATTGTACTGGTTAATCATGTATATACTCAGCACAGCACGTTAGACCCGGAGAGGGCTTTCGGATGGGAGCCAACTTGTAACTACCATGCTGTTGAAATGCAAAAACAAAAGAAAACTGCTTCTGTTTATTATTAAGGTGTGAGTGAACTAAGAGCCATAAATAATCTTGCTGGCCAGTTTCCAGGACCAGAAGAAGGAAAGAGAAAGAGAGAAGGAGAGGGAGAGGGAGAAGGAAGGAGAGAAAACTAACTTGTGAAATTGCTTTGTTGAAGCATCTCAACATTTAGAAAGCTCTTAATGGGGAGTCCCAAGTGTCCAACAAGGAGAGGAGAAGTAGTTGACTCTACAAATACGGAACTGAGCTTTCTTATTTACATACACTTACATAATATTGTAAGAGACGGCACGAAATCCTATTCAGAGACTACATATTCAACTTTAAATTTATGTTGGAGAATATAGAAGAGCTCTAGCAAAGAAAACTTTAAAATATCATCTTGACGGGGACCTCTTTCATGCTATTTCATTCCTCTCTTCTCTGGACCCTATTTATATACAGAACTAAGCTTCAAGATTCTAGCTAACTATGGATGGATGTATTGTGTGCTCCAGGGGCCCCCGATCAACCTAACTTTGTCCCAACTGAGTCAGGACACTGCTTTGGGCCTGGGCTCCATCTCGTCGGGCTGTGCCCCTAATAGCTGTATGGCTCTGGGCTAATCATCTCATTTCTTCTTCCATAAAATGAGAGGGTTGCCCAAGATTACTCTTGAGTGCCTCTCAGCTTACACATTCTAGGATTCTGTAATTCTCCATATGGCAATGAGATTTCGAAACTCTTACCTCTCTGATGAAGTAGGGAAGTAAAATATTTCTAAACCTACACCTGCTAGTCTGCATAAAAAGCACCTGGGGGTATGGTAGGTTTGAGGTAACTTGCATTAATCTGCATTTTTACCAAGCAGCCGAGGAAATTCTCACCTGGATGGTTCTTAAGACCTGGCTTGGAGAAGCCTTGCCTTGGGGATTCTTTAAGCTTCTAATGCAGAAAAGGCTGTGAAAATCAAGACTTTTTAAATGATTTTTACCTCCGGGTCACTTTAACATTCTGAATGAAAATAACAGCTTGTGCATTTAGGAAATTAACATATATAAAAGACAATCCCAGGAAGAGGGATAGTAGTCATAGCTGGGGGACAATTTCAAGATTTCAGCTACTAGTTCATGTTGCCGGTTGCAAAGAATGAGTGGAGATAGAGGATTGTAAGAACAATGTCTCTGTTTTCAATTTTAGTGGAAATTACTGTAGCAAAATAAATGTTCAAGCTATAAAGCACTGTAATAACCTCACAGTCACTAAACGAATCATTTTGTATGCCTTAGTACCATGAAAGGTGTTTGGCATTTCTCTTTTGAGCTTTATTCACTTTATTTTCATCAATCTCACAGCTTAATGACGGGCGAATCTAGTATTGACCCATCCACTCTCTTTTTTTTTAACAACAGTTTTTTTTTTTTTTTAAATATGTTTCACAGATTCTACAATTCACCCTTTCAAAATGTGTAATTCGGTGGCTTTTAGTATACTCACAGGTATCTGCGAATTACTAAATTACTAATTAGAATTACTAATTAACCACAGTCAATTTTAAAATGTTTTCATCACCCCAAAAAGAAGCTTTTGGCGGTCTCCTCTCATTTCCCCCCAGACCTCCATAATCCCAGGAAATCACCAACTACTTCTGTCTCTCTAGCTTTGCCCGTTTGG